TCAACATAGAAGTCAACACTTAGAGGCGACAGTCTGTTTCATGCTATATGCAATCATCAGGTGGCCTGACGATTGCATCTAGCATGGAACAGACTGTTGACTTTATATTCCCTTTGATATATATATATATATATATATATATATATATATATATATATATATATGAAAACTCGTGTTCAAGAATTGACATTGTTTAAATACTCGTAAAACCGCTCATCCATGAGCTGCTCTTATGTGGCTTTTAGTCCAGCTAAAGACATGCATTCTTTGGCACAGGTTTGGCAGGCATGAACATCCCTGACAAGAGTTCCTGCATCATTGTTGCCGTGTATTTTAACATGTTTTATTCCTGCTGCACTTTTGCCCACTTTTCCACACTCAGAACGTTTGACAAATGACTGTACACCCAACAACGTCCGAACAAGCCCAATAGCCGATGTTCATTAGCTTTCATCTTTTTTTTTCAGGAGCAAGATGACTACCGGGCCCAGGCTGGGGTGCCCTGGGACACCTGCTAGACCAAACCTTTTCGTAACTAGTCCCAGAAACCTTATCGCCATTGTTGCTAATATTATTAGAAGCCTTCGTTGAATGGGTTTGCCTTTTTTGGCTACAGCCAGCCTCTGTATCAAGACACAGTAAGATCCGGAAGTCGTCAAGCAATGCCTGTATGTGAATTTTTTTTTTTTTTTTTAAGTAAGAAAAGGCTTTGACTGAGTGACTGCTACTTTAACCCAAAACGAAGAACAAGTCTACATCTTTGGAGGTAGCAGACATCGCTGGTGTTATATCAGAGTTTTTCCTTCTTCTCGATGTTTGCCTTGACGAAGGCTGAGGGGACAACTCTACCGGTGGGTTTTACGGCGCGCTCAGGCACCAATCTGAGCATTTCTACGTCCCGGCGCAAAGAGATATATACATACATACACACAGACATAGATACATACATGCACACACACATACATAAACACATACATACATACATGCACACATACATACACACATACATACATGCACATATACATATATACACACATACATACATACATACATACGCACAGACATACATACATACATGCACACATACATACATATATACATACATACACACACACATGTATACATAGATACTAACACCAGACAAATAAACATGAGACATCTACTCGAACAATAAAAACAAAAAAATATTGAATTAAGAAAAAAATTATTAGGGGTGATGGAGGTGGAGCGGTGATGGTGGTGGAGCGGTGATGGAGGTGGAGGATTTGGTCGTTGTGATGTTGGTGGAGGTGGTAACTTTTGTTCAGATGGTTTCGGTAATGTGGTGGTTGTTGAGAAGTGGTGGTTTTGGTAACTGTAGTGGTGGTGATGGTGGTGGTGGTGGTGGTGTAAGTTGGTAGTGGTTGTGGTGTTGGAAGTGGTAGTTTTGGTGGTAGTTGCGGTTGTGCAGTTGGTGTTAGTAGTGGCAATGGTCTCTGGTAATACTCTTGAGGTGGTGGTGGTGGTGGTGGTGGTGGTGTCATCGTCGTCGTAGTGGTTGTCGGCTTAGTGAGTTATTATTATTCTAACTTTACGCTTTTTATTCGGTGGATTTTTTTTTCATTTTTTTTTATTTATTTTATTTTACATTATTTTGTTAATTTTTGTTTAAAGATGTAAAAAAAAAAAAATTACCAAAAACAAACAAACAAGCAAATCCATTTATTAATATTATTTATTTTTCGGTTTGACAATTTTCAATTTGCTTTTTTGTTTCTTTTTTTTTTTTATGTTTCTTTTTTTTGTTTCTTTTTTTTGTTTCTTTTTTGTTTCTTTTTTTGTACCGTTTTTTTTTCCTCGAAATATCTTTAATTTCTTTCATAACACTCCTCGCAAATCACTTCCCTGTTCCCCGCGCGTCCCGCTCATCGTCGACCAAATCGTTAACTTACCACCATTATCCCCTGTTTTATTTTATCTTTTTATTTTATTTTATTTTATTTATTTATTTATTTTTTTGGAAATATTTCATTTTATTCAACCCCCCGCCTCATTTCAATTGTTTTTCGTATTCGTGTCTTTCTCCCCTCCTCCTCTCACTTCCCCTACCCTTCCCCCTCCTTTCTCGTTTTATTTTTCTCTTGATTGTCAGCTGTATTTTTAAATTTCTTTTTCATTCGTTGAGAATCTTAAATTTCGAAGGTTTTTAAATGGAAAAGGAACACATATTTCAGCAGAATGGAAAAAAAACAACAAAAAAAAACAAAAAAACGAAAAAAAACAAAAAAAAAAAACAAAAAAAACAAAAAAAAACAAATAATATAAAAACAAAACTTGAAGACAATATGGAAGATTTTAAATATATTATTATTATTATTATTAACTTATTATTATTCTGCGTATCTTTCCTTTAGTTAGCACGACCATTAAGCCCTGCCAATGCCTCATAATTAATGGGCTATTCCGTTTTGATCGCGTGGAAAGACAGGGAAGACATATCACAGATGTTACATGGTTTTAACGAGAAAATAAATCAAAGGAATAAAGAAGGGAATATAGAAGTGTTTAACGTCTGTTTAAGTAAAATGGAAAAAGTTGTCAATTTAAAATATTTCATTTGTACCCGCTTACTTCTTAAAATAACGACAAGTATTCATATTTATGATTGTTATATTTTATTAAAATTGTTAAGCTCAAATATTTAACGATGCGATAGGAGAATTTCTACGGATATTTTATTGTCGTGGAACTCGCCATGAGCTTATTCGATCATCAGCTGATAAATTAAGATTCATCATAAATTGCAAATAGAAAAACCGTGAAAGAAAGAAAGAAAGAAAGAAAGAAAGAAAGAAAGAAGTGTTTAACGTTTGTTTCAGTGAAATGATGCGATAGGAGAATTTTTACGGATATTTTATTGTCGTAGCAGTCGCTATGAGCTTATTTGATCATTAACTTAAGAATTAAGATCCATCAGAATATTAAGATAGTAAAAGCGTCACATTTACACAAGCATTTCTAAAAAATAAGAAGAAGAAAAAAGAAGAAAAGGGAGAAAAGAAGATGAAAAAGAGGAAAAAGAAGAAGAAAAAAAGAAAAATAAGGAGAAAAAAGGAAAAGAAGAAAAAGAGGAAAACAAGAAGAAAAAGCAAGAAGAAAAACAAGAAGAATTGTAGGAGACAATCACTCTTGTGCTTTTTGTCTGTAAGGGCCTCACCTGTTCCCTTCTAATTTTGATCTTTGGAAAGACATAAATCTATCCTTTCTATTTTCCCTATGTATGGGTTAAATAGCGAAGGAGACTACTTTGTACATTTATCTGGCGGCCAGTGTGGAAGTGGAAACCATGAAACGGTCCACGGGATACCATTCCACTATACTTTCCAAGAAAACATTGAATTTATAGAATATCAAAAAGAGGACCCAAAGAGAGTCATGAAACCCCGAACTTTCTCAAAAGGACTTGGCATTAAAATAATTTCTAACCTTTAAGTTTTAAGCACTATATACCTACAATGAATCGTATACTCACAATAAGAAAGAGATAGTTAAAATGTTTCGGATACATGAGGAAAGAGGGATTGGCGAATTTGTCACTCTCAGTTCATGTTTAAGGCAAGAGAGCCAGAGGAAAGCTACGAGCAACTTACCTAACCGGATGGAGCAAATTGATGGCAGAACATGCAGGTGTTGGAAGCGTGGTGAAATGAGAAACCTCTACTAAAAAGTACAGAGGAATTTGTAGAGAGCCATGATTGTCCCCATACTGAATGGTCATGTCATGTAGAAGGAAAAGTAGTATTGACTTAAGTTTATGGGAATGGATAGCAGAACATACATTCGAAGGGATAATCTAGGTACAAATATTGCTTAGAGCTGCGAAGTTGTGGAGAACCATGATCTCCCTAGTCCTGAAGGACAGCGACACTGAGAAGAAACATATTTACTAAACAGGTTTTAGTTCGACACAAGGCCAACTGAAAACGAGACGATAATAATCTGAAAATATTTCATGTAAGTAGTTAGTGCCTTGCTGAAAAATCAAAATTCCTGTTTTTATTTATTTTTATTTTTTTTCTTACTGAGATCCGATTAAAAATATTTTGAACATATTTTAAAATTGGTTGAAAAAGATAGAAGAAAAAGAACAAGAAAAAGAAGAAAAGGAAGAAAAGAAGAAGAAAAAGAAAAAGAAAAAGAAGATGAAGAAAAAGAACAAGATGAAAAAGAAGAAGAAAAGGAAGAAGAAAAAGAAAAAGATGAATTAGAATAATAATAATAAGAATGATTGACTGATTCGTTTTCTACGGCTTATCAGCGCCTCGCCATTTATTTAAAGCCAGAAAGTATTTAAAGCCAGAAAGTATTTAAAGCCAGAAAGTATTAGATTGTAAGGAGATAACAATGATTTAGTGACAGATTTTTTTTAATTTTATTTTTTATTACTAATGTTGACCTGATAGAAGGTTCAAGAGCCACTCAAGGTAGAGGGTTACTGTGTGGTATTGTATGAGCGTAAGAAAGGGCAAAAAGTAAACTTATTGCGGTTATGCAAGAAAGATAACAGCTAACTCTTGACTTGAAGATGTCAAGATTTAATTAGTGAATAACACTTCAGAGTTCAGACGGAGACGAAGCATAGTGTGGAATTAGACTTTAGAACGAACCAGAAACCCAGTTCTAAACAGGAAACAAGGGATAAACCTCTACTCCCGTTCAAAAGCCGGGGAGAAGTGTGAACCGGACGATAGGCAAACATCTATTCTAATTGGGAGAGGAAAAATAATTAGTGAATAAAATTTCATAGTTCAGCGGAGACGTAAGAAGTAGAAATTTTACTATTTAATCCATAGCTGAGGGAGAAGAGACGATATTATAGATTTCCCAAGAGTAATTGCGCGTAAATGAATATAACGAACCCAACCGAAATTAAAAATTTGGATCCCCAAGAAGAAGAAAGTTATTTTGTGTTATTTTTTAAATTTCGAAGATTGTCGGGTTTGATATCGAAAGTTATTAACAGTGGTGGAGTGGAAGACGAGAAAGAAAACAAATGAGACACAGACAAAAAAGAAGTAAAAAAAAAAAAAAACGAAAGATTAGAACAAGACAAAGAATGTAAAAAAAAGACGACGAAGATATGGATGAAGACGAGGAAAATAGGTAAGAAAAAAAGAATGGTTTAGAAGGGGAAAGATGTGAGAAAAACGAAGAAAATAAGAAAAAAAAAAGGGAGGAAAAAGTCTCTTGCAACATCACGTTCTTATTCTTTTACTTACTACTAAATCATCTTTCAATATTTCTTTTTTTTTCTCTTCGTCGTCGTCTTTCGTTTCTTATTGACACTGCAAAGTACAATTCTTTGAGTACAAGAAACATGTTCGCTTCTTTCCTTTCGTTCATTTGTTTATTTATTTGTTGGTTCATTTCAAACAAGAATCATTTAAAGACGCTCTAATGAGAAGTTAGCTTGTCGTCTGCCGTTGTGATTTGAGTCGTGGTGTTGGGTAATAATGCACGCCGTTCGTCTTGCATATAAAAAGCAACACAATGAAGAATAGAACGCCGTATGATGGCGACGAAAAGGACTGCAACATGACCCCCGTCACTGATGTAGAAATAATGAAATAAATACAAATTAAAACGGCCGAGTGTTCCACGGAAGTGGAGCTGAAAGAAAAAGGAGGATTACTGATTATTGACAAAAGGATGAAACATTCACTCACGGCTGAAACAAAACTGAAAGAGGTTTTAAAACATATAATTATAACATACGGAAAACGAAACAAAAAGAGGACGGGTTTGTGCCTCATTCGGTAAAGACGTTTGTCGTCATGTGATAGGGAAAAAAAATCTGTTCTTGTTGACATCATTGTTGAAGAAAAAAGTTATTAAATAATAAAATTGCGGGCAATCTTGTCAGCGCAAGATGAAAGCTCCGAACTGGAGATGTCAGAATTAAACAAGCACAGAAGTTTCAATATTTGAGGTGTGTTTTAACAGAGGACGGAAAACGTGACACCGAAATCCGAAGGCATATCGGAAGAGCAAAAGATGCCTTCCGAAAGCTAAGCAAAGTAATATGAAACAGGAAAATTACGATAAAAACAAAGAAAAGAGTAAATATGGCAGTGGGTATTGGACAATTTTCTCATAGAGGAAAAGACAACTAACATGAAGCAGCATAAATGTGACTCTGCAGAAGGATATTGAGAATAGATCTGTGTCTCTCGAATTTTTTTTCAGGGAGCATTTGTAGAATAACTAAAAGTCTGGGGTACACATTACATTTACAAGTAAAAATTTACAAGTAAAAATTAGTCATGAAATTTGAAAACAGGAAAATAATGAAGTCTCCTGAAATAAGCTTTTATTTTTAAGACGTTACATGTATATTTAAGGATGCTTGTGTGAAAGCTGCGCTTGATGTGCCTTGGCAAAGAAAAATATACCATTTAATGGTTGTAATTTTTGGTTTAGCATCCCCACAGAAGATTAGCGTTATATTTTTAATTTAAAAGGATTTATGAAGAATCTGATTTTTTTTTAGAGAGGCCAATAATTAAATCCCTCGAGGAAGGCAAAAGGGAAAGGATTATCCACTCCTTCTTAAAGATTAAGGAATTTAGCATCCAGTTTAACATACCAAATGACAAAGACTTGACGTAGACATAGAATTCATGCTTGGTGTCTTTAGTTTTTTTTTTTTTTTAATAAAGATTTTTAAATACAAAAATAATTTATAAATTACTCTTCTGTTCACTTAGAGCGCATCTGGCCAACTTTTCGAAGCACTCCGATTGAGAAAGGCTGCTCTAGATGGATTGCATCCAGGAAGCGTTTTAACAGAGGCGGGAAAATATGACACCGAAATCCGAAGGCGCATTGGTATAGCGAAAGATGAGGAAAAAATTCTAAAAAGACTCATAAATACTAATATAATCCCTAGTGATCCAAGTAAAAAAATAAAATGAATTATATACTATTCTAAATTTAGTATAACCAAAAGAATTTTTCTCCGTCATCTAGTATCAAACAAACACCAACTTTGTATATCAATTTAAATGTCGTTTGGGAGATTGCATCTCTAATAAAAAATGTTAGTACATATTTTGGTTTTACAACGACGACGTTGACGAGAAGGCTTATGTTTCACTTGAATGAGTATAGTTCAATCTCAGAACATTTAAAGGAACACTCTTATCCACATTCACCGTTTAGACAAATATTACATCATTCCTTCATCAACAATTTCTTGAAGCCATTTATATTTAAATTTAGAATTGCGGCCAGAAATAAAGTCAACTTTGATTATAACAACAAAGTTCTTTAATGTTTGCAGCAACAAAGTTTTATATAAAAATACTAAATTAAAATATAATAATTTAGAAAATATATATTTTTTTTAAATATTACAAAAGTTGCTTGCCTTGCATAAGTGAGAGAAAAATGTTGAATTTGAAACGTTGTAAACGAACAGTGAAAAAGAAATATTTTGAATTTACGGAGCTAATGTATACACATTCGTAGATATTTTAACCCTCTGACGATGAACTCAAATGAGATTGAAAGTACTTCGGAAAATAAAAAAAATTATTTGAACGAAAATGTTGGTTATTTTCTTGATTTTCTACAACCACCAGGAAATTAATTCGAGGACTTGAAAGGATTAAAACTAAAATAAACAGACATAATACGTCAAAATAATTTAACCAGACCTTCTTGAATTAAAATATGCTGTCTATATATATATATATATATATATATATATATATATATATATATATATATATATATAGAGAGAGAGAGAGAGAGAGAGAGAGAGTGATAAAGAATAAATTGCGATACACATTGACGAAAATTTTGAGATAGATATATAGATAACAAACACTTTATAGGAAAAATAAAAAAGTTACTAAAAGCTAGAAAAGACAAGAACGCCCACATCATAAAATTTATGCCACCGTGTAATGTGTATTTATTTACCTGCTCGATTGTGAGGTCGCCAATTTATATGTCTAACATTCACAAGATATATTAAAGACAGGCGGGGCAAAGAGAAAATTTGAGTAATAGGTGTATATAGATTAACCTATCGCCCTGATCACACTCCTCCCCGGTCTTTTGAGCAGGAGCAGTGGTTTATCCCTTGTTTAGTGTTGAGTTTCCAGTTCTTTCTAAAGTCATCTCATTCTCTTTCACTCGCAGCAGTAATTCTTTGTATCTTAGTGGTGTTATCGCCTTGCCTGGGGTGAATTGATTAAAAAAATGCCCAAGGATTAATGGATGGCAGAACAGTGAGTGCATGAGATGATAAAAAAAACACAAATATCCCTAAGAGCTACAAAAGATATGAATTTATGGAGAGCCATGATCCTCCACGTGCACGTCACATACAAGAAGAAAATTGTTTCTAATGGGATTATCCCCAATATTTAATCCTAATACTGTTTTACTTGAACACTAATCTTTTGTGGTTGTCGGTTCAATGTTTGGAGTTTTTAGTTTCGATTCCTTGCCTCAATTTTTCGATGGTGTTTTGATGATTTCGCCGACCAACCCTTAAGATTTTTTGCCAAATTTATATTTCCCTTAATTCAATACATTTCCAGACTTCCAATACGACGCCATAAGACTACTTTCTTAACTTTTAACTGTTTCTTTAATGCAGAATGAAATATATTCTTTACTTACATAGATAGATAGATAGATAGATAGATAGATAGATAGATAGATACGAACAGACGGTGATAGATAGATAGATAGATAGATAGATAGATAGATAGATACGAACAGACTGAGATAGATAGATAGATAGATAGATAGATAGATAGATAGATAGATAGATAGATAGATACGAACAGAGATAGATAGATAGATAGATAGATAGATAGATAGATACGAACAGAGTGAGATAGATAGATAGATACGAACAGAGATAGATAGATAGATAGATAGATAGATAGATAGATAGATAGATAGATAGATAGATAGATACGAACAGACTGAGATAGATAGATAGATAGATAGATAGATAGATAGATAGATAGATAGATAGATAGATAGATAGATACGAACAGACTGAAATAGATAGATAAATAGATTCGTTTGATAAAGAAAGGAAAACTTATTGAATGAAAATATGAAATATACAGCAATAATAAAACATAGATTGAATAATACAGAAACTGAATTTAATTAATTGATTTGGGGAAATGAGGTCGCCATTGTTGAATTGCTGGAAGTGCTGAGTAACCTTGACTTATTTGGGAAGGCTGTTAGAATAATCCAGAAATTATACTGGCAGCAAACCGTCAGCATATGGATAGAAAATGAATTAAATATACAAAAAATAGGAAAGGGTTTTAAGACAACGATTTGCCTTCTCACCGGACTTATTCCAGCTATACAGTGAGGCGATTCTGAGAAAATTAGAAGTTCTGTCAGGATTCATTATGGGGGGGGGGCACAATCTCAGCAACATAAGATATGCAGATGATTCAGTGCTGATAGCAAACACAGAAAGGAAACTACAAGCTCTCCTATGAAAACTGGTGAAGGAAAGCGAGAAGAAAGGAATAAACGCCAAAGAGATGGAAGGCGTACTTCTCCCCAAAAGAACAGCCCAACATTATTACAAATTACAAATACCAAAATTAAACAACAAATTAAACAACAAGTACAACAATTTAAATATTTGGGTTGTGTTTTAATACAGGGCAGAAAATGCGACACAGAAATCCGAAGGCGTATTTGCAGAGTGAAATATAATTTCCAGAAGCTAAGCAAAGTAATAACAAACAGGAAAATTTCGTTAGAAATAAAAAAAAAAGGTGCTGAATTGCTACGTAATATCAGTCTTCCTATATCGTAGTAAATGATGGATACTCTCCTCACAGATGGCGATAAAACGGGAATCAACAGAAATGTTGTTCTACAGAAGGATACTGAGAACACCATGAACCAAACATGTGAGCAAAATTTTTAGAGAAAATACAAACAAAAGAGAGGAAAAAGCGAAAGTGAGTTGAGGGTTCTAGGACACATAATGGGGAAAGGGTGCTTGGAAAATTTGATACTCACAGGACAGATTGAAAGCACGGGGGGGGCAGAGGAAAACAACTCATAACCTACCTAGCGAGTTTGAATAACTAGATGGCGGGACAAGGTTTAGGAGATATAATAACATGATAAAATCTATTACGAGCTACAAAGAGCAGGACGTTGTGGAGAGACATGATCGCCAATTATCCTAT